GGGGGCAGGGTCGAAATAAGCCTGCCGGCAAGAAACGTGGTGAGTAACCCGGTAATGGACTGGGTGGGGGTAGAATTGGTGGAAGACACGGTGTACCTAGTAGTAGAGCTGGAGTGGCGTGCGAGAGGAGAATTCGGAGGCATAAATTTGGAACTCCCAGGGCGCGTGCATGCGACGGGATCCCTACACCTGTCGGAAGAAGGGTGGCGGACCTTTGGGATTGCCTTGGCTTCCGGGGATGACCCCGTGCGAATGTTCGAAGGAGCATGGCAAATAACCTGGCGAGAGGGGTTTGAGTTTGTGGATCCAGAACGAGATGACGTGACAGCTGAGGTAAAAGTCGCTGCAGCAGGGGTCTTTGAGTTGCCAAATGAGGTCGTTCGAACGAGTCTACAACCCTTTCTACTAAGACGAATGGGAGGCGTAGAGCGAGTGGAGCAGGCGGTAGCTGCCATAACCAGGCTAAATTTTGACGAAACATTAATGTATCAAGAATACTATCGGGCCTTCCTAGAGATGGGGCCTTTCGAAGACGAACAGGGGCACGAGGTGCTTTGCATATTATGAGCAGCAGTAAATGCTAGGCCAGGAGTTCCGCAAATAAGTGATGAGGCCGTGTGGGGAGTCATCCGACGGGAAGTAGGTCGGGGCGCGACCTACATAGATGACCTTTACCGGCTGTACGAGCAGCCAGAGGAGGTTGCTGCTCCCGGGGGAATGGAGGGATAGCTGGGACCAGAGCAGAAGAATGAAAACATGGAGGGTAAAGGGGGCAGTAGGTGGACGTTTACTGAGGACTGGATGTAACCCTTTCTATGTGGACTATGCAGGGAATCGCCAAGGCAACAATGGCAGCAAGACATGTGCGAACGGAACGCCAGCCCCGTGTGCGAATGGAACGCCAGCCTCGGTACCCCGGACCGCCCTGGAATAACGGCGGACGATGGGAAGTATCCCTCCCATCGAGTTCCAACTATCGGGGATTCGACGTAGAATGGCGGGCCGTAACTTTGGGGAGAGACACCGCCTTCATGTTGGTAGAATGTCGGTGGACGGGGATGAGAATCAACCGGGGACCAGGGGATGATCTATTCTCCAGTTTAGAGGTAACCGGGGTCCTGTACTTACCCGAGGCTGGGTGGCACTTGCTGGGGATAGGAATAGCGCAAGGCCACGAGCTGGCTCCCGTCTTTCGGAGGGCGGCCCGGGTGTTGACACGGATAGGACAATCAGTCAGGGGTAGAAGAAACGTGGACTTACTTACCCGGGTGGAAATGGAAGGTTGGAGGGAATTCAGGGCACCAACCACACCGCTGAGGTGCCGAGTTCCCCGTTTTATGATAGACCTCGTCTTCGGGAGCCTCGCGAGGGCGCAAGAGCTGGCAGACTCGGCGATTGTCTGGGTAGACCACTTCCCCTCCCCGACCATTGGGATGTTCTACGATGTCGCTGTGGAGCATGGGTCGTTCTGGGGAAACAGGGCCCACGAGTTACTGGAAGTCATCCACATCCTGATGTTTAGGGCGCCACGGCTAAACTGGGCGGGATGCGAACGCATAATCCAAAGGGAAATCGAGATAGGGGAAAGTTATCTAGCGGGGGTGGCGCAACTATTCGAAGAGCCTACCGAACCGGAAGGGCCACGAGGGCGAGAACGGGACTAGCACCCGCAGGCGGGCCAATAAGGCAAATCGAGTATAGTCCGCTACGTACAGAAGGTCGCCGATGGAAATAAGAAAGGGCCTCGGACCCGGATGATCAGAACCCGCTAGACAATAAAGGGGGGGAGGATAGACTCCTAATGATTGACATGACCCTGACGGTCAAAAAGGGGAATACTGCTCAGGAAACTTTCCCTAGCAAGGTGCCGGACCCAGACCCCTACTCGCCGGCCGGCGGGAGAAGGGCGCTCTAAACAAGCCCGTGATAAGGGAAACTAAGTCACGCCCCTAGCTCGGTAAGGCAGCAGGGCCAGACGTGGCTCCGCATTAGGGAAGCAATCAGGAAACGGGAATGGGGAGAAGGCTGTTCTCCGAGAAAAGATAAGCCAACAGAACTGGAACCTAGGGAACCTAAATTACCTCGCGTTGTGTAATATCCTGGGGAATCCTTTGGTTTATGCAGAAGTAGGCGAAAATGGCAACAGAGGATGAGACAGGTAATCGTAAGAGCGAGGGAGGACCAGGCTTAGGAGGCAGTGCTGTGCAAAGCGAAGAAGGGCAGAAATACAGAGAATCGGCAAATCCGGATGGTACAAAAGGAAACCGGAAGGAAATCTCCTAAGGCGAAAGCTCGGGGAAAGTCGGGGGAAGCAGGCAAGGGACTTAGGAAACCAAGGAGGGCAGAAATAAGGATAGGACAAGTCCCCGGAATTCAGAGGGAGCTGTGTCAAAGAAAGTAAGGGTCACGGATGCGAGGCGCAAATTAGCAGAGATAGAAAAGAGGACCGTGGAATACAAGGCAATATTGATCGAGGAAATGATGACTGGGAACGAAGAAGGCCCGCTGCAGGAAGAACCGCGGGACGAACGGAGGACCGGCCGAGGCGGAATTAGGCAAGGGGATAAGGGTAGTGACCGTGGGGGAACTCCGAGCAAAAGAAGGAAAGAGAGAGAGAACTCCCCGGGGATGGAAGCGGAGAAAGCTACGAACCCACCGACCATAGATAGTACGGCTAGCCGCCTGCCGACCACACCAGCAGTCACGCGAGGATGTGAGGAACTCTGGAGCCTTAGGGAAAGGGTGTTGGGATGGTTCGACCCAGAAGGTACTGCGAAGACCACGGAGGGACAGAAGGCCGGCAAGGAAGGGCCGGATACCAGTATGGCAGGCGAGGCCAGTAGCTCCGAAGGCGGCCTTAGGAAGATAGCGTCATCCCTTGTGCGAGCACGGAACAAAAACCAGGGCTACCTAGCGGACGCTAAGAAAAAGTCGACGTTTGACGGGGCGAACATCACAGAGTTCCTGATCGATTATGAGAACCTAGCTGCGCTGCTGAAATGGACCGAAGAAGAAAGGATGGACCACCTAGGACAGCATGTGTCACTGAGCCTAGGGCGGGACATAATGGCCATTGTGGCCGCGAGCCGGTCTTGGAAAGAGACTCGGGATGTGATGATGAGAAAATATCTGGCAGCAGAGAAGATGGCGACGGAGGCCGATTTAGCGACAGTCCAGAGGAAGAACTTCGCAACGTACAATGACTTCCTACGGGAGTTTACTTTGGTAGCACTAAGGATCCCCGGGGTTACGGACCGGATAATGAGTAAGTACTTCCTCAGGCAGTTCTCCGAGTTCGACAAGGACAAGATCCTGTCAGCTTACCAACAGACGAGCAAATTCGTAAACACCAGGGACGTTGATTCCAGTACGGTAACGGATCTGGTCGAGAAGACGGTAGTGACCGAGACACTGGCCTTGCTTAAGGAAGGGGAGGTCATAGATCTGACCGGTAGGACACGCGACAAGGTAAAGAAGGGGATTGAAAGTTTACATGAACGGGTGCACGGAGTCGACAACAAAATTGAAAGGGTGGAAAATGCGCTACTGGTTATGCAGGCACAAGTATCCCGACCCGCCCTCCCTCCCCAAGAAGCTGTAGTTCCACCAGGTGTAGCCAATCGAGGGTTCGGACGGAGGGATCCTGCTAACGAGCAGATCAGGTACTGCACCGCGATGGGACATTATGTGCGCGCATGTCCAAAACTCAACCATGATATATTAAAAAGGAGATGTACCAGGTCGTTAAAGGGAGAGATATTCGGACCACAGGGAGAGCGGGTGAATTGGAACTCGCCAGGGGGGATGCGACGAGTTATTATCATGCTCAATGGGTTAGAGATAGCAGCGGTAGAAGCTGAGCCGGTGGTCGAAATCATTTGGGATCAACTTCGGGGCCGCGGGCCGCAGGTCAACTTCATTTTGGAAAATGACGGACGTGATAGGGTGAACGCGACTACTCGGCTTGGGACGGCCGGAAGAAGGATTATCAGTGACACCGTGATGGAGGAGGTTGCTAGAAGTTCTGAACCCCAGGCAGAGCCTGAAGCCGGGGAACCAGAGAAAGTATACGGGAAGCCTAGGGAAGAGGAGCCTACGGACAAAGTCACCGCTGCTAAGAAGAAGTTTAGATACCAAATCCCGATCTTAACTATGCCTGAGATCGATGATACCCTTAGCAAACTACTAGGGACCATGGTGTCGGTGTCGTTCCAAACCATGCTACAGACCAGCCCTAGGTTGCTCAAAGGGCTTAGACAACTGTTGACTCGGCGACGAGTAGAGATAGACGAAAACCCCGAAGCACCGGAAGAAGAAAGGGAGGAGGAAGCCCCGCAAGAGGTCGCTAACCTTCAGAGGAGTCGCGGGGATTTAGAGGATCTTGAGAAAGTTTTTGCAGACATCCGTTTGAGCTTACCAGACCGAGAAGGTGGCGAAGTCATGAGGGCACCTCCTGGGACAAAGCTCAGTTTCCATGCGCTACCCGTAGGAAAATTGAAGATTCAGATCGGAACTCATCACACCGACGCACTAGTAGACGGGGGAGAAGAAATCACTCTCATAAGGAGAGATTTCGCAACACTCACAGGCTGTACGGTAAATAAGGAAGTAACGGGGAGCATCCGGGGAGCCGGTGGGGAAATTCCGTTCGCAGGGTATGTCACGAAATGTGCAGTCAAGGCAGGAATCAGGGAGTCAATCTGGTCGTTTCAGCGGACGACCGTAATGGAGGAAATGGATCACGACATTATCCTCGGGAGGCCATGGTGCGCAAACGTAGAAATGATAGGCATGCACTTGCACGATGGCACGTACATGGTAGATATAGAGGACCCAGTGACAGGCCGGGGTGAGCTCCTCCGACTCCTCGGGACGGGAGGGGACCCTCCGAAGGGGAAGTTAGCAACGTGGTCGCCGTCATTTGAAGATAGCGCACGAAAAGGGGCTTTCACACGGATGGAGGGCATGAGAGAAAGGGTAGAAATTATGATTGAGGAGGCGTTCAACAAGAAGGAATGGATCAAGATGGGCCTGCCCCAGAAGAAGAGGAGGCAGGAGGACGAAGTCTTAGGTGGTATGGTAGCAGAGAAGGAGTCAGAAGTCGAACTCAGTGCCAGCCTGCCCAAACAGAAAGAAGTACGCCTGGACGTGCCGGAAGTCGCACTCGAGATCTCGGACTTGTTACAACTCATCAAGGCCCTCAGATACCACAAGGTAGGAGTGGACTTGGCGGCCCTGGCCAAATTCGAAGGAGAAGTGCAAAAGGGATATTGTCTGAATGGGAAATTAGTTAGTATTCAACCACGAATCGCAGAGGCGACAAGGGCAATCCCGACCATTCATTTTTTAGGAGAAAGATCCCATAAGGGAGTGTTCGAAAGTACAAGCCGGTAGGGAAGAACGCAAAACCGGTCTCAATCCTGCTAGAGACGTCAAAGGAAGAGGCTATGGAGAAGGAGGAGGAAGTCCTCCGGGTAATCCAAGAGAGAAGAGCGACAGAAGGGCATCAGATACCAAATGAGGTAGCCGATACAATGAAGATAGGGGTAGACGGATTCCTAACAGAAGAGGAAAACCGCCTGATCAAAAGGACCTGCCAAGAGTTTTCACCTAGCATTTGCATTTAGTGATCACCAAAAGGGACGGCTGGATGCAAAGCTGATTCCTCTGGTCAGAATCCACACGGTAGAACATGAGTGCTAGAATGACAAGGGTCCGTCCTATGAATTTGGGATAACGGGGGAAGTGACAGATCTTCTTCGAGCAAAAATGAACTCCTTTGTCGCAGAACCTACGGCGTCGCCGTACGCAAACCGGTGGTTCGTCTTTCGAAAGCCCAACAAGACGTTAAGGTGGATTCAGGACCTGCAGAAGCTGAATGCGGTGACCATCCGGGATGCTGGCTCGCTACCTCAGGCCGATTTATTAGCAGAATCGCACGCTGGTCGGAGCATTTACTCCCTGATAGATCTGTACTCAGGATACGACCAGCTCCCATTGGATGTCCGGGACAGGCCGTACATCGCAATTCACACCCCCGTAGGTTAGTTGAAGATGCAGGTGACCCCTATGGGCTTTACGAACGCGGTAGCCGAAGCGCAACAAAGAATGCTCGCCGTAGTCGGGGACATGTTCCCAGAAAAGTGTGAGCCCTACATCGATGACAATCGGATCAAAGGCGCGCAGGAGAAGGACGATACGAAAGTCCAGCCAGGAATCCAAAAGTTTGTATGGGACCATCTACAAGACATCAAAGACTTACTTCGCCGGTTCCTAGTATACAGCATCACGGCTAGTGGACCAAAGAGTATTCTAGCAGTACTGGAGGTAACTATACTAGGATTTCGCTGCGGTGCTCACGGTAGGAAGCCAAATTCGGCGAAGACAGACAAGATATCGCAGTGGCCAACACCCCTGCGGACGACAACGGAGGTAAGAGCATTCCTAGGCGTGGTCGGCTTTTGGAGAATCTTCATTAAGAATTTTGCCAGGAGTGCTGAACCTATCCGGGCTATCATCAGAGAAGAAGGGACCATGGACTGGACGGAGGAGCGAGAAGGAGCCGTCCAGACCCTCAAGGACATTCTGACATCGGAACAGGTCGCCTTGTCAGCACTCTTCTTTAATGATGAAGTAGGACGACCATTCATCCTAGAAACGGATGGAGGACCCTTGGCCGTAGGAGGCGTACTGATTCAACGGGATGAGAAGGGAAAAGAGAGGCCGATTAGGTTCGAAAGTAGAACCCTGAACTCCGCAGAGCGGCGGTACTCACAATTCAAGAAGGAGGTTCTGGCCATCTTGCATTGCCTTAAGACCTTCCAGGCCTACCTATTTGGGAGGCGGTTCATCCTTAGGATCGATCCGACAAATGTTGCAGGGGCCCTAAAGAATTACAGGCCTATAGATCCGACGGTGGGGAGATGGGCAGCATTTATCTGGCAGTTCGATTATAAGATTGAACGGATTGCGGGAGTCAGAAACAAGGCCGATAGGCTGAGCCGGGTCTGCATCACTCCCGAAGGGGTGGAAGAGGGGGAGCCCATAGACGCGTTCCTTGAATACGAAGGCGGAACTCTTGCGGTGGACAACGAAAGGATGGGCGAGGAATGCGCGTCGGGAGAACTGTTGATCCGGACTTTGGAGAAGGGGGCACCTGCCGTAGTAGCCGAACTTAGAGAAGGACCAGTCACCACTCGAGGTCGTAAAGAGGAGAGAGATTCATGGGGAGCGATAGTGGGACCAAAGGAGGAACTAATAGCGATGGCGGTTGAGGGAGGCCGGGAAGCCGTGATGAGCTTAGTGGAATCCTGGGAAAGGAAAGAGCTGCGATGGATGGTAAACCAGATGCAAGAACGAAAGAATGAGGACCAGGAAGGGAAGGAGTTTTTCTACGCTCAGATATACGAAGGGATCTTTCGGGAGATCGGGTTGTTGCTGGTAGGAAACAAACTACCTATGGAGGTCAGCACTAAAGCAAGGGAGGAGGCCGAAAGGTACGCCCTAAAGGGGGGCCATCTGTTCCGAAGAGAGGAAGGGGCTATGCCTATAAGAATTGTGTGCGGAAGATCTAGGCAGTTAGACGTTATCCAAGCAATGCATGACGGACCAGCAGGAGGACATCGGTCGTCCAAAGGAACTCTTGCAAAGATAGTGCCGCTTTATTATTGGCCAGACATGGCAGGCATGGTCGCCATATACTGCCAGACATGCCTTATCTGCCAGGAACGAAGCTCGGCGCGAGTCTTCGAGCCGCTTAGACCTACGCGGGTGCTAGGGTCGGGGCATCAAGTCCACCTTGACCTTGCGGTCATGCCTGTATCAACAGATGGGTACAGGTATATTCTAGATGCGCGAGACAACTTGAGCGGGTTCGTGGAGGCGATCGCTCTCAAGAAAAAGACAGGGAGAAGTGTAGCGGACTGGACAGAAGACTTCTACTTAAGGCATCCTTTCGTCAGGAGGTTTATAGCGGACAATGGGACATAATTTGTGAACCAAGAAGTATTGGGAATGCTTAAGAGACTCCACGTACCGATCAAACTCATCGAGCCATATCACCCGGAGGCCAATGCACCTGTGGAAAAAGGGCACCGAACCTTAAAAAACACGATTGCGAAGCTCGCAGCAGATCATCTGGGAAGCTGACCTAGGTATCTCAAGCAGGCTGTCTTTTTAGAGAACATGACACCTAAGAGGACAACGAGATGTATCCCAGCAGAACTTTGGTACGAAAGAGAGATCGAGTTCCCCGTTGAAGCCTTGATACCTACCTGGAACAGATTATATGACGATCCACGAATGACCACGGAAGAGTTAATCGAGGCAAGGTGTCAACAGGTCCTTAAGAACGAAGAGGATATGGAAGACATCGCCAACCGGGTACTAGACAACAGAATGAGGGACAAAGCAAGGTGGGACCAGGTTAAGAATGTCAGAAAGGAGCCACTTCAGGTGGGGGAGATGGTATTGCTAAGGAACTCGACACTAGAAAGTACGTGGTCTGGGTAGCTGGGGAGGAGGTTCAAAGGCCCCTACCGGGTCACCAAGCAGGTGGGACTGAACACCTTCGAACTGGAAGATTTGGATGGAATTGGATTGAAAGGACCCTTCCCGGGGCAACGGTTGGTTAGGTTTCTAAGTCGGGACCCAGTGGAGCAATGGCTTCAGGAGGCCGAGGATAAGGAAACTGAGGGGCAACAAGTTAAGGACTGACAACGGCCATGCCCACTCTATGGTTCGATCTCTGACTGCGTTCGTAGGCTGTCATTTTTTTGGGGATGGGGCAATGGGTTGGACTAACTGAGGTTGAGAGGCAGGATGACTGGGAGTTTGCGGTAACGGGTTTGTGTGACAACAAGAAGGATTGTCGGGCGCATTGTATCATAGTTTTTGGCGGGAAAATAATGGGATCATCACAAACGACGCATTTGCATAAGGAGGAAAATGTATAACAGGGGCGTGATGCGAAGGATACTGGGAGCATTCTGGGAAAAGGGGAGCTGCCTGCTGGACTGGGGGAACGGGTGTGTGAGGGGCTTTGCGGGTGTTGTTTTGCAGGACTTAGAAGAAAAACAAGAAAAAACAAAAATGGAATTCGGTAACGAGAATGACAGTGGGGCCATCAACAGGCCTACCGAAGGGGGTGGAACGGGACCAAGCCAAGAGCCAAGGACTGCCAAAAGAAAGTTGTACATAGGGGACTTGTCCAGGCGCGTGCCAGGAAGGAGAGCGAGAAAGTACTTATGTAGAAGACCCTCGCCCCTCCGGGAGGGAGAAGGTATAAAGATCTCATCTGAGAGTGAGGACGAGGGGAAAAGGGCAAATGTGGGAGAAGGAGGCAATGCGAATATGGGAGATAAGGTCCAGGCTCCTAACGATAATGGAGCCGATAGGGGCGAACAATGTGAGCCTTGGCAAGGGGGAAGCGAGGAGAGACATGACATGCGCAACGAGCATGAGGAGGGCGAGGAAAGAAGGGAAAGCCCGTTTGAAGGACGAAGCGGCCATGGCAGTTGTGAGGGGTATGGGACAGGGACAAAGATTCATTTTACTTACGATCCAAAGAATCTAGCGGGAGGGTATAGCCCCATACAGACGGAAGACGAGGAAGACGAGGAGGAGGATGTACAAGAGATCATAGAAATCAGCAGCGGGGATGAAAGGGATGAGATCTCGAGGCCTAGGGAAGAGAGGCGGTCTTCGATGCACCAGTCACACGAAAAGGCCTTCAGATGGGAGGATGAGTTTGGGCCAACGCCCAACCATTGGTTTCAGCAATGGTTTCAGCAATGGACCAATGTGATCAGGCACGAGTGGATTATCAAGACCCGGGAACTCGCAAGGGCAGGGGTGGAAGCCACGCCATTGGACTTTTTCAGTGAGTCAGAATTACAGGAAATTGCAAGGAAAAGGAGAGAAATCGAGACCTTCGGCCTGGGGGTTAGAAAGCCTGCCGAGGAACAGGGTGGACAAGGAATCGACCAAGCTTAGGCACAAGGCAACAATAGGAACTAGATGTTGATTTAGCATTGAACATGATTCCTGCTTTTCTGTTTGCAAAGACATGGGAACGACAAGAACTTGTATAGTATGAGTAAGCTTGCTAAGGATGAAGTGATAAGAGGGTCAGCTAAGACTGTGGCACAATTTCCATTCTCAAGTCGAACAGCCTGGTTAGGGTCATTCCTTTCCATTCTCAAGTCAAACAACCTGGTTAGGGTCATTCCTTTCCATTCTCAAGTCGAACAACCTAGTTAGGGTCATTCCTTTCCATTCTCAAGTCGAACAGCCCGGTTAGGGTCATTCCTTTCCATTCTCAATGTTAGCGCCCGAGGGGGTAGGCCTCGAGGACACGGATCCCATTTCTGTCTCGGAGGTTAGAAGGTGGTCATCTCATCTCAGTTTTCTGCATGTTGTTCCCTTCATCCATCATCAAAGCAATGTACTATGTGTGCATACACCCGACTTCGCGTCTAGTACTCGAGTTGGGACTCGCGATCCCAAGCAGCACTAGCCCATTCGGCCGTTCAACCGTAGTAAGAGACAGGGGCGCCCCCTCTTATTTTCACTTATTCCAATGACTCAGATCTCGACTATTCTCAGACTCATTCATGACTCAGTTGGATTAGGCTCCTAGGGCAGGAGTGTTCTTCACGCCCCTTAACCCATAGGTTCCCTAACCTCTCTTGTACTCGACCAACATTCATTGCCATGGTTCGCTCGTCAATCTGTACTCAAGGTTTCTCTTCTCAAAGCACAATCCTTATTCCCATCCAAAATTCACAATACACCCTTCCCAACGAGTCTCATCCCCTGCCCATGTCATTGTCTCATGTACCCACTTTCAAAGGTAGCTCATCCAGAAAGTAGCCTCAGAAGCTATCTTTATGCAGCACGCCTCTTCCACGAGTTTTGTTGTATGGCGTACACTAAAGTTGAATCCCTCTGCTTAAAATGAGTGAGATTCCACCAGAAAGAATTGCGCTCGGAGTATTATCAGGATTTAAGAGACGCTGCGCAATAAAATCAACGTGGTGAGGGTGTTGGGATAAAAGTGGTTTTACCGTCAACGTTCACTGGGGGCCCCCGATATATGAATGAAATATATCACAACAACCAGGTTGTTCGGAAATGGCCCCTAACCAGGGTCATTTCTTTTGAAATAGGCACTGGGTCCCCTGCATAATTGATTGAGAAAGGTTGATTGAGAAAAGGTTGATTGAGAAAGACTGATTGAGACTGAGCTGGAATGAGCAACGGGAGATGAAAAAGGCTGGTGAGACGGTCATTGAAATAGCCATGAGGATGGATGAAAGAGAAGGATGCATTGAAAAGAGATGGGCAGGATAAAGAAGGTTGAGCCTTAAGGCGAGAGGGGCATAGACCGTTGTGACGGTCATAAGGAAAGGCTATTGGGGAATGTGAAGGTTGAGGATTGAGGATGGGCCGACGGGTCGGCCCTTGGAAAAATGGCTATTGAGAAAGCGACCGCCAGAGCGGCCACAAGGGGTGGCCTTGTTGATGAAAGGCTGCCGGACCAGCCATGAGAATCAGCCTTGGAGATAGCATTGGATTGAGTGCTTAAAAATTGGATATTGCATTGCATAAGTCAGGGGACCCTAGGCAACTCGATGTAAGGTCGTCGGGCCGACCATGGAAATAGCAAGAGATTGAGTTTTCCCTTTCTTCTAGTTTCAGGTCTCGACATCAGGAGGAAAGTGATGCATGCATCACAACCCCAGGACCTCTACCCGTCAAGGGAAAAGTCTCAGCGCGACTTATTCCTTATAAGGGAAAATAAGGGTTGAAGGACCAAGGCATCTTTCTCTTTGATTGATGCGGGTCGTCCGGAACTAACTCCGACAACGAGCTCTAGTCGGGGAGTTCAAACTGCGCCTCATGTCGAGAACGTAAAAGTCAAGGGTGTGGAGCCAAACGGGCAAGAGAGCCATTCTTTTTCCTAAGTCTCATTTTTCTCCCCAAGCACACGCCATGCCATAGAGGGGCGGCACGGCCGTTTGGAATGGACCACGGCGGCTCGTGTTAAGTTGAGCAGCACTGTCCAAAGGGAGGAGTCAGGCGTGGTATCGGGTGGAAGCCGCAACCACCACAGGGCGAGTGACACCGCCCTGCCGGATCATTACAACCGTTCCGGGACTAATCGCGAGGTCTTCGTAACTGCACTCGCAAACTAATTGAGAGCCCCAACTCTCTTGAAAGGAAGAGGCTGGATCCAAGAAAACACCACTCGGGAGGAACGATTTGCGAGAAAGTCATTACGGCAAGACGGGGTCCTGGGAGGTTTCGGACTGGACCTACCTGCCAGATGTGAGGAGGTACCTCAGTGATGACGCCCGTCTCGTAAGCGGCAAAAGGTCGGACGGAGTAGGGGATGAGGTGAGTTATCAGCAGGGGGAGAACTGATCACCCTTCCTTTTCGGGACTAATGGGCCGACATCCGTCTACTCGTTGGTGGGCCAAGGTCTGCGTACCTCCGAGTGAGAACTAGTCGTGCGATGGGAACATCGCATTTTGAGTCGGGGGAAGGTGTGCCATCTACCAATGAAAAAGCATGCAAGGTTACCATGAGCCCAAGAAATTATGTAATTGACTTTGCGCCGGCTTGAGAAAAGATCTGGCAAGATGTCCAGAAGAAAAATGCTTGTATAATTGACTTTGCGCAGGCTTGAGAAAAAACCTGGCAAGATGTCCAGAAGAAAAATGCTTGTA